ACTGTGTTTCCAGACGCCAGACGCCTACGTTGCCGATGCTCCTCATCAGATAGTTTAATACGTACCATGTGTACATTTGATAATTGTTCCTAGAATGAAGACCTGCTACCGCTAATCGGGCAGATAAACGGTCCATACTCTCAAGGTCCTAGCTCTCACTCGATGCGCACAGGTGGTCCAGCTCCTCCTTGCCTACACCTCTGGTCATATGACCGCCCCGTCAACCAATCAGCGTTGAGCGCCTCACTCCTCCTCTCCCACCCGTCAACCAATCAGTGTCGAGCCTCGCGGCCACGCTTTTATACAGGCCTCACTTTTGGGCTTCACGAAATGCCAAGCACTTAGCCGAAGAACGTTTCACGTTTAAATCAGGTCGGAATACCCCCCAGCTCATACCGTCTTTGAGTGAAATGGCCAGGGACGTTACTCGCAGCACCACGTTCGGTTTTATCTTCGGGACTCCCAGCCTTTGCTTCGCGGTTGTTCACTTTTCAAGGTCCGATTTCCGCTTAGCATCGTGGAAGGTCGCGGCGACCGATCGAGACAAAAGACGGTTTGCCACGGGAGAGATGGGGAGGCTAACGACGGAGAGAAAATGGCTTTGTTGACTTCCGATAGACGGCGGCACATATACTTCCGCACTCCGAATGACGTTACACCGTAGTTCTAATGACCGCCACGCGCGGCTAAAATGTATATTATATATGTACAATTTTTTTTTTATTTCTTGCGATTACGCAGCGAAGTTGCAGCAATTGGAGGAAGGTTAATGAACAAAATGTAATGGCGCAAACGAGCTGGTGTACATTGCACATGGTTGAAAAAAACCCGAGACCGCGGCTAAAAGACAACACTAAAAAGTTTATAAAAAGCTCTAGAGACTTTTTAGTGTTGTGTCGTTTACCCGCAGTCTCGGGGTTTTTTCAACCACGAGGAAGGTGGCGTTTTCTCTCACTTGTGCCAATAAAAAAAAAAAAAAAAAAAGAGTACAAGCTCCGAATTTCTTTAGGTTGACTTGGCACCTCAAAAGGGGAACTCAAAAATCTCTTCAGTGGTCTACTAATGACACGTAAGAAAGATTAGCGGGTATCGGTATGTTTGACGCGGAATTGTGTGGCGCCTTTCTGCGTCGAAAACTCGATAAGTTTACGTCCGGGATTCATTATAAGGTTTAGTGTATGAGTAGTTCTTGCACCCCGATAACGACATTCGATAATAACGCAATGCATGCGCAAAGGCGCTGGCGGAGTGTCGGATCTTGTTATAGGAGTTATTGGAATGATCTACTCACCTCTATAATATCACCGCTCTTTCGCAAAAATAGCACATGCTACAAACACGTCTAAGCGTGAACGTGCGAAGCGCCCCAGTAACACTGGCGTGCGGAAGCAGTCAGTGTTTTAATTCTCTTGTTACGTTAAATAGATATTTTATTTTCTAACCGAACTATACGGAGCGTGTTTGTTGCACGCGGAAGTTTGTCCGGCTGTTCACGCTCACATCGCCTATAGGATTTTGCATGCGATAGTGCTCGCTCCACGCGTGTAATGTAATTATGTCGTGTGTTTGTCTAGCCAGCGGGAAGTTAGTGAGCCACAATGGACGTCTCTTGCAGGGGCGGATCCAGACCTCCATTTTAGGGGGGGGGGGGGGGGGGGGGCGGTTCTTCGGTGTAAAACGGCGGGGGAGGGGGGGGGGGGAGTGTTTAAATTTTTTGTGGGGTTATCGTTTTTACTAAACTCTGATAACAAAATATAGATGTTGAGAGCTTTTAAATCGGTTTACCTGTCGGGGATGAACTCTTTGAATTAAAACCTTTCGGGTGACCACGCTAGAGGTAAGTATCTAGAAAATTGAGGTGGCACAATCCTTTCTGAACACCATAACGCAAGGAATTTTGTAGTTCATAGGAAACGGGATTACTCCATTCGCGTGGCAGCGCGCTAGGAAAAGAAAAAGAAGTTTAACTACTGGGGATGATTGTTTGGTGCTATAGCGGCTGTGACAATTGCATAGAGTGTAACTTGATGGCTCAGATATCCCCGGCGGGGCTACAACTTTTGGGCTTCTTTTGCTTGAATATCTATATATTCTCGTTACACCTGCAGAGCATGTACGGAGAGCCAACCTTTGCCAACTATACGGAGGAAGCTCATGCAGCTAATGACAATGCGAAAAATGTTTTAATCTAAAACTCGGCTGTTTTTTTAGATTAAGCTTGCAATAGTAGTAAAAACTTTATATTCAGTGCCAAAATGCGGAACGTGGTTTTAAAACATACTTTTCATTGTCGCCGGTTGCTTCAATGGAGCGAGTACGTTGCAAACAAGCGCCAAAAATGGCCCGGCGGCTTCGACGCTGCTCGCGGCGTCAAAACACTGTTGACGCAGCGAGCGAAACGAACGCTGCCAGGCAAGTTCGTCGGTTGTTCGCCGTATATTTGGAATGTCCAGAGCGCAGCACATGCGGCACTGCCAACCCAAACTCGTGTTTTCGCGTGTTCTGGATGCAACTCGAGAGAACGGAAGCGAATAATTGTTGAATATTTTTGAAAGCATGTTGCAGTTCGGCAACTATAACTTTTAAACCTAGACAAGACATTAAACCAGCAATGGATCCTTCCAAATTATATTTAATTGCACTTCGCCTGGATATTTTCTGTATGGAAGGAACACTTACTTGTTTCTGGGTAGTTAGCTCATTCATCAGGGTCGAGAGGACAGGTGCAGAGATATGATGGGGCAGAGCGCTTGTCCGGTCGGCGAACCTCAACTGGGTTAAAGGCCGATCACGACTGCAGCATGCATGTTTGGGAGTCGGTGTTCACTCGAACGGGCACAGGCACTCTCTATTTAATTTATGTATAGTCGCATCTTTGAAAGGGCTCGTTTTCCCCAAGTCCCTGGTAGGGAATTCGAAGCCGCAGTTGCAAACCAGCAAGCCCCGCCTCTGTTCCGTTCGACACACACATATTCGCTCCTGCAAAGCCGCGCGAAAGCTCTGCCATCAATCCACAGAAGCCGCGTTTAACTCGAAAAGTAAAGACGGCGCCAAGGGGAGACAAGGGGTAGCGGGCGCCTTTCCTAAAATCTGTCCCGACACCCCAAGTTGAAACGGCATTGTATACAAATAAATGCCTACTGCGTCGGCTTGAGGACCCCGTGTAAGCAGCCTCCAGCATTTAGACTGCTCGTACCGTTTATCTTTCTTTTATTAGCTTCCCGCCACGAGAAGTCGCACCGCAGGCAGCATGAAGCCCATTAGAGGAAACATCTCCCCCTCCTGGCGCCGTCGGCTTCTTTCTGTATTCCGCGCTGCGGCGCTGATCCTGCAGTGAGGGATGGAGGAGAGGACGAAAGCGGGCTTACGTTTAAGCCAAGGTCGTGGGGAAGGCCGGAGCGTCTTCAGGAGACGCTCAGACCCAGACTACACTGTACCCAGAGCATTTGCTTCCTCTCTCAGTTGAGAAGAAAAGCAATTGGTCACCTGGTTGTACCAGCTGCATCCCCCTCCCCCCTGGAACGTCTCCTCCTGGTACGTCCCCTCCGCACTTCCCTTGGCAATGAACACACCGTGCCAATAAGACACCTTTAGTGAGCCCGTGGGCGACAGCATCTCAAAGCAAGCCAAAAAAGACATTCCAAAAGACAAGCCCAGAACCACGAAGAAACCATCAAACGAAAAGTGATGAAAAGGCGGCCGCTAGAGAGGAAGGATAGTCGGCTGTGTATAGGATCGTACCCTTGTGGAAGGCTGCTCGGCGTCTGCGTTTGGGAGCTTTCAGGGCATAAATTTGTCGCAGACAACCTCCAAAGAGAGAGAGGGAGCTAGAGAGAGAGAGAAAGGGGACTAGATATGTTGAAGGTATCTTCCCCCCGTGCTCGACGTGCTGGCCTTGTTTGGAAGTGTGCCTGCAGTCGAGGACCCTGATATTTGGGCGCGCCTCCCCACTGTCTCTCCACTTCGAAACCCCTGGCGCCGTCCCTACCGGGAAGACGTACCGTGACCTTGACGGAGATAAACTCCACTTTGGAAGCGCCCAGCAGGCGCGTCCACCCACCGCTGTTTTAATATTTTGTCCCTCGCGTCGATTGCTTACGTTCTTTCTTCAAGCTGACGAAGAACCCCGGGGGGGGGGGGGGGGGGTTGCCTGGCGAGGCGTTTGGGGGGGGGGGGGGCGATCGCCCCCACCGCCCCCCCCCCCCTTAAATCCGCCACTGGTCTCTTGTCTCCGCTGATTAGAAATTTAGCTAACGCAGTACCACAAGCTGCTATAGCCTGGCGTCACGTATCGTGTATCACGCAGTAGTGATACACGAACGCACCTGATGCTCATCCAGATCGAAGCAGGCAGGGTAGCTTATTGAACCCAGGTTCTTTGGGGTTTGCCACCGATCCCCTCTTTCTTGTGCAACGAAGAAAGGTATGGGAGCCGAGCGCACGTCCGCCTTGAGCGCCGATCAAGGCCGTGCATATGCTCCCTCCGGTTCTACTGAATTTCCCCTCAAAGTTGTCCCCACATATACTGCTCCAACACACCAATGAAAAAAGCGGAAGTTGAATTTGTATTATCTGACGCAGAGGAGGCGTCGGCGGAACCGCAAATAGCTGCGTGTCAGATTGATTTGGCGTACGGAACGTCTTTTGTCAAGCGAGAATCGTGGCTCCATGTTGATTCGTAAATATCTCAAATCTGAAAAGAAAATCTAACACATTCGGCCACCGACCCCCCTTTCCACCCGTGTCATTAAGCCGGGCACGCACTGCTCATACGTCATGTACAAAAGACAGTCTGCATAGAGATTCGAACGCGAGTCATTACGAGATCCGTGCTGCGAATGCCGCGTGGCAAAGAGTTCATGGAGAAACTTGACACGTGGCGTTCGAACCACGGATATCGAGGAGACTAATGTCTGCAGACTGCCTTTTGTATGATGTATGGGCAGTGTGACCACGGCCTGGAACGACTGTTTCCGAGCGCGTCCTCTTTGTCCCCGCAGATGGCTGCGTCGGAAGCGCGAGGAAGAGAGGAAGCGCCGGCTCTCATCCCGCGGCCCGGACCGGAGGCAGGCCGCCCTGTCGGCCAGGTCTCTGCGGGCGCTGGAACTGTACCTGCAGAGCGACGAGTTCTGCCGCTATCCCGAGTTGGTCCTCTAGCCCACGTGTGGACGTCACGAAAACCCGTTCTGAGAGTGACAGTAAAGAAGACGTGCAACGTTTTCGAACGAGGCACGCGACCTTTTTGATTGTTATTTTTGGTTTAGTCCGTCAAACAATGAAATATTCTCAGAATGTTCCAACTCACCAACATCTGCAGTGCTGAAAAAAAGGCACGGGGCTCCAGAGCGTGGCTTTAGAACGTGCATGCCTTCGATGTGCCAGTGCTCGAAGAAACTAACCACTCTGCAGCACGAAGCTCGAACGCCTTTGTCCGCAGTGTAGATATTGGTAAGTTGCAGTATACTTTTCAGTATACTTCTATGCATCTGGACTTCATAACAATGAAATCGAGCGCAGACAAAGATTGGATACGACTGCTGCGTCAGCGCTCGGCTGAGCCTTGAGTCCAGTGAACGCGCCGAAGGAACGCTCGGCGTCGGGCCCAATCATCTGCCCGTGACTGCATATCGCCATCCAAACAGTGTTTATCTATTTGTTTTACCCTAAAGCAGTGGTTTCAAACTCTATTGAATGTGAGCGCCAGTTAGATACACTGAAAAGGTCGAGGGCCAACGTGAGTGGAGAGGCTTCAAAAGATTTAAAGTGAAGAGACATCGTGCTTTATGCTTTTTGTAAACTCACACTTTAGCCAGTGACATTTTTAGATTTAATTTGTTTCTATAACTACTTTGGGCCCTAACATAACGTGATAATGGGAATTCGGATGACATCGTCCCGCTTATGGGCTGGAATTTTTAAAAGAACAAGAGAGCAAGTGCACTGTCTTGTCCGTTGCCTAATTTACTCAGAAATTAATCAAGCTAAACAAGTATCTGAAACCAATCAGTTAATTTGACAGTTTGTACCTTCCTGACGATTTTTATTAGGACACTCTGAACGAAAAAAGTCAGAGTGCAGGCAAGCTGGTTTAAGTTGAACATGATTGTAAACCTGAGACTGGGGCAGAAAAGAGAACACAACAGAAGGTAGAAAAAGAGAAGGCAACGTCTCAATTGAGACGTTGCCTCCTCTTTTTCTACCTTCTAAATATCACCATGAAAAGACATGTGTATTCGTTCAGTTCAGAGTTGAACATGATTGTAAACCTGAGACTGGGGCAGAAAAGAGAACACAACGTTGTGTTCTCTTTTCTGCCCCAGTCTCAGGTTTACAATCATGTTCAACTCTGAACGAATACACATGTCTTTTCATGGTGATATTTTTTTCAAGGCGAGAACCCAGAGATCGTAGCTTTATCTCTGGCAGTTACTCCTGCTGATCGAGTTCGCACAGCCGAGATACATCCTTCAACGAATACCTCGCGCTTGCAGCCTTTGAATTGTTTAACATTACAAAAAAATAAAAAAAAAAAAAAAGCCGGGAAGCAAGAAATAAAGCGAGACGAAGGGCAAATAAACACAGAGAAATATAAACTATGGGAATAGGTGAAAAGAGCAGAGCAAGTTTTCGAGCGAAAATGAATGAACGAGTAGAAATCACACTGGCGCATGCCCTTTCTAGCGTTCGAGACGAGAAAACCGAGACTCTTAGCCGGTTCCCTGCGGGCCGGTTCCCAGCGAGTCGCGGGCCGCGTGCGGCCCGCCGGCCGCGTATTTGAGACCCCTGCCCTAAAGGCACAAGGCATTACAAAGGGGAGAGGGAACAATAGTAATAATAATACAAAGGGAACCAAATATGCAATACTTAAAGAACAGGGAACATGAAATGGGCAATAGATGTACAAAAAAGTGCGTGGTCATTAATTGGTGTGAGCGATGCGGGTAAGCGGTTCTAGTCTTTGGAAGTTCTGGGAATAAAGAGTCATAATAAAAGTTAGAGCGGCAAAATGGGACACCGAATTCGTGATGACGATCAAGACGTGCTGAAACACAGTAGGGGGGATGATTAGTTGTGATTTAAGCTGAAGAATATTGTGATCGATTTTATGAACAAGACAAATACGAGAGACTGTGCGACGATGTACGAGGCTTGGGGGTAACAAACTATCTTAAATTGATGTTGCGCTTGCGGTACGGTTATAATTGGCCATTGTGAAGCGTGCAGCTCTGTTCTGAATACCCTCAAGTGAATCAACAAGGTAAAGGGTAGAGGAATCTCAGATGGAAGCTGGATGCTGTAGTTTGGACCTAACTAAAGTGTTTTATAAAGTAATAGTTTTATTGACGATGGGGGAGATAAAAGTTACGTTAGAGAAAACCAAGCAACCGATTGGTGTTGTTAGTCACGTAAATATAGACCAACTCATGTTTACAAACAAACCGGAGCGCCCCTAGCGGACGCCACCGGCGCCGTGCATGCGCGATGGAGTGTGGGCAAGAAGCTCGCCATCGCCCATAAACAAACCATTGGAAGGCGATGTTGTCGGCGTCAGTGTGAGTCCCCGTGCTCTTTTCGCGTTGAAATTGTTGATTTTACGTCCTCCTGACAATGTCTGATTACTTTAGAGGTCTCAGCGAAATTAACGAGGCTCGCTACACCGCAAAACGTCGCTTGAATAATGTGACAGGCGGCGATTCATTCCGTGTGGACGCCGCAGAATGGGCGCTTAAGCCTGATCCGCATGATGAGATTCTACTCGCTATTTTCAGTAGCGACGTCGCTGGAGCTGCAAAAGCGTGGACCGTAGCTGAGATTGTCGACGTCGATACTGAAAATCGAAATCACAGCCGGACCAAGTGAATCAGGCATAACAAGTCGGTGATGGCCACTGGTAACAATCATCAAGATCTCGTCTCTACTTTTTATATCGAGCCTCCTCCACCCCACCTTCAAACCTAAGTCTTTTGAGGCTTGAACTTAATCCTTATCGTAATTACCGGGCCAACGTTTGGTCTACGTGCCGCTGTCGTTTGAACCAGCAGACGACAAAAAGCAGACAAGTTTGAATGATCAGACGACAGTTCGAACGATCAGGCAGCCGTTTGAACTTTGACGAACTGAACGTAGTCCGCAGGTGGTCCGTACAACTTGGCGGTTTTCCTGCGTCCATGATGGAACAAACCAAATAAATCTGGCGACCAGAATTATCTGTGAATTCAACCCAAAGTGCTTCCCGCACAAGCAATCATGGTACGACGGCGTCTGGTTTTTATTTTTCACGGCACCCATCATCGTTCTCGGACGAACAGAGCAGGCAGAAACATCAAAAACTGTCCTTCAAACCTTTCCCGACTTTTTCGGTACAGTTCCAGTGGCGGCGCTTTGACGAGAAGGCAGGTTTTTCTCCGGTATCTTCCAAAAGCAACACTGGAATGCACGTCCCGCATGGCGACTTCCGCCAACAGCCCCAGACCGGAAGGACTCCCGACGCGCCACCACCGCGCCATGACGAAACAGAGCTGAGCTCGTTCATAAAGTTTCCATGAAAGGTCAGCACTTAAAATCACACCCAGATACTTGTATGAGTTTACAAGTTCTAGGGGTTAATATTATAATTAAAATTGAAGTTGGCTTTAATGGAGCTATGCAATAATTTTTGTACTTTGCGCAAATACCGCTTCAAACGGATCCCTAACGTTAATGACCTATGAAACACGCGTTCGTTTTTCACCCCACGCTATAGTAGTCCCAGAAAAAAATTAAAGAAAAATGAGCAGCGTTCACCCCCTCAACTCGCAGACAGAACAAGCGGCCACGTGATCTGGAGCCGATTATATGCCGCCAGTGTTGATCATAGCCACGCGCTGGGGTTGGCAAAGCGCAAGACACGCGCTGAGTTCCAGACATTGTTATGGCTCGGCTGTTGTCGTCGTTGCAGCGATTGGACACGGGTCACAACCCGAATGCTTCTCGAGCTAGCAATTGTCACGAGCCCAAGTCGAGTGCCCACGCAATGCTCGGGTCCAATCTATGAACCGCATTCAAATATCGTCACAATTGGGTGTACTGCGATCCCCGAGTTGCATCATCAAATTTTGCAAAGGAGAGATTGAGTGAAAATGATCGCTTTTGTCCTTGAAATTACACCGCAACAAAGGAGTTTCTTGGCCAATGGCGTTGCGTGTGAGTATCCTTGAGTCCCAGGTGTGCCAGTAAGCTCGTGTAGAGAGAAAAACATTCCAATTGCATATCGTTGCACAGCTCCTTTAAGTATTATGCGCAATATTTTACATTTATTAACATTAAGCTCCATTGACCAGAGTTCGCACCAGTGTAGTATGGATCTATTTTATGTTGTAGTTATTGTGAGTCAGTCATTAGATATTACTTAATAAATAGCACAGTCGTCAGAAAAAAGTGATTGAAGAAGAAACCACCGTATGCAGGTCATTCATATATATTAAAAAGAGTAGATGTCCCAGAACAAACCTCTGAGTTACTCCGAAAGAGACGGGTGCAGGGGAGGAGTTAGTACCATTACACGTTACACATTTTGACCGATTCGTTAGAAATGATACTAGCCAGTTAAACACGTTAGAGTCAAATGTTTTGGCAAATTCTAGAAATATGCAGTCCACCTGAGATCCCTGATCAAATGCTGAATGAAAGTCGCGGGAATCAACACGAGAAAAGTTGCGTTTAACAATGTAAATATTTTCTAAAGTTTTGTTGAGCTGGGGAAAAAATGAATTGGATTCTAGGAAGTTAACGAGTTGCGTATAGATTATGTGTTCAAAAATTTTACAGGGAACGCTGGTTAGTCAGATGGAACGTGCTTATTACCAGATTTGTGCAAGGGAATAACTTTACCAATTTTCCTTTAGGCTGGTACAAATGATGTCTCAAGTGATTGCTGAAAAATATCTGCAAGGATTACGGAAGAGTATCCATTTGTAGCTTTAAGAAATTTCAGTTAATCTCATCTATTTCAGTCGCCGAGGACAACTTAAGACAATTGATGATGTTTAGAACACCATCGGGAGAATTGATGATAGAATCCATTAACGGAAAGGAGTTAACATGATAGCTTGGGTTTGCACTGATGACCCCCATCAGTGGGGGTCATCAGTGCAGCTAGAAAAAGACCTAACAAACACTTTCTGGAACGTTGTAGCCCATAAAGATTCCTCGATCAGAGTTTCGTCTAGCGTTTTCAATGAAATACATGAGGGCCTATCCCGGTGGGACAATACATTCCAGAATTGACGAGGATTATTTTTTTAACATAGATGCTTGTAAATTGTAGAGGAAATTGAGCTTAGCACTCTAAACTGCACTCTTGTAACACTGAGCAGCACTGAAATAATTCTGCCAGCGAATTGGGCAGGACGTGATCCTAGCAGCTCTAAATTAACGTTTATTTTTGTTCGATAACCTCAGAAGCGCCCTGTTGAACCACGCTGAAGTAGAATTTACAATGATGGTTTTAAGAGGTATATATATTTTTAGTGAGCGAATCACT